CCACACCAGTTTCCACCACACTCAGGAGCTGATTGGCAGAACCTGATAGTGAATCTGGCGGAGGCTGACTTGGGTCAAAGCAAGGCCCTTCTTTTCCTCAGCTCATCCTAGCTGAAAGCCTGACACTTCAGGAGGCCACCTGGTTCCCAGAACACTTTCTCTTTTATGGTCCTTAGTTTTCTTCTTATTCCTAGGAAAAGTTCTCATGGTTAACTTGGCTCTGATTTAACCCTTGCACTTTTCAGAATAGCTCAATGAAGAGACCTTTGAAGAGAAATGAGGTCTAGACCCCAGTTCATAGTTCCATTCTTGCAGGCCATTGCTCCACAGGACAGCAAAGACGAGAGATCTTTGAGCACAGGGCCAGGGATGTGGTACCAAAATCACTTGTTTTAGGTAGCTGTGTTGGCAATGGGAAGAAGGCTTGACTATGGTGATTATTGTTCTCTTTCGTTGTCTTAAAAATAATTTTTGTATTTTCAAAATTGTCTTAGTGTGGTGAAATTAGTATATGAGCATATGTATTAGCATGTGTGTCAATAAAAGCAAAAGATAGATCCTTCGGACTAGTAAACGATAGAGTTTTCTTCCTAAGAAAGAGAAGATGGTCTCACTGTCCTAAATTGAGATGGCTCAGCAGTTAGGAACATTTGTTTCTCTTCCAGAGAACTGGAATTCAGTTCCCAGAACTCATGTTGGGTAACTAGCTTACAACCATCAATAACTCCGGGTCCAAGGGGATCTGACACACTCTTCTGACCTCAAAGGACATACACACAGACACAGACACACAAACATAGACATAAGCACACACACACACACACACACACACATATAAACATACAGAGACACAAATAGGCACACACACACATACATACACACAAACTCAGAGACACACAGGCACACACACAGAGACATGCATAAGCATATACACAGGGAGAAACACATACATACACAGGCATGCATGCAAACAAGAACACACACAAATAAATAACACATCTTTTAAAGTCTATAGCTATTAAGCCTCATTAGTTTTCATGACAATAAAAGATTCATTTTGGGATCTTGACACACATAAGCCTTAAAACTTCCCACTCAGGCACAACAGTTTGCCTAGAATCCATTGCAAAGGAATAGGTACAAAGCCATTAGTAGCTGTGTTCGTTAATTGTCCCAGTGAATGAAACCCATTTTCTGGTCAGTTTCTCGAAGCTGTGATAACAGACACCTAGAGAGGCCAGGCTGGCAGGGGCACGTTCCTGACGGGGCTCAGACTGGTCCTGAACTAAGGGACACAGGTGGGCCGAGCTACATCAGTCATTTCAACAAGAGCTTCTACTGAGGAAGAGAATGATACGAAACTGTTTCCCTGTGAAGCTTGCGGGCAGGGATGGAGGGGCTGAGAAAATGTAATGCAAATTGGAGAACTTGATGCTGAGGTGGAACCTGATAAAGCATGTGGTAATCCCAATAATCTTTTTTTTGGGGGGGTGAGGCAGGGTTTCTCTGTGTAGCTTTGGAGCCTATCCTGGCACTTGCTCTGTAGACCAGGCTGGCCTCGAACTCACAGAGATCCACCTGCCTCTGCCTGCCAAGTGCTGGGATTAAAGGCGTGCGCCACCAACGCCCGGCAAACCCTAATCTTAAAGTAAAGCAAACAGTGCTCTCTCAGGCTCTGCATCTGTCCCAGCTGCCTAATAGGCCCCAGATCTCATTCTCTTTACTCTTTTGGTAAAAATCAAATGTTGAGCAATCTGCAAAGAGCCTTTTCCCCTTGGTAACCCCAGCCCGGTGCCCTCGGCATCTCTCCTTTGTGGCCCTCGGGTGCCTGCGATGGATTCTGGAGGCCCCAGGCCCTCTTCACTGCTGGCTTTAACACACACAGGACTCACAGCAGTGCCTCAAGGGGAAAGCATCCATCAACAGTGTGTATATATTCCCGTAGACCTTAGTACACCTATAGACCTATATTCTCTCTTCCTGGACACTACACTCTATGTACTCTTCTCTGTTTGTTTTCACTTGGGCATTTTATAATGCATCGAAATCTGCCCCCCCTTTTGTATATCTATGAACTATGCCATGTTAATTGTGAACATTGCTTATTTTCATATTCACTTATTAACAAAGATGTTGCTTGATCCCAATTCTTCACAGCTGCAGACAATGGCAGATGAAAGAACTTCCCTTGTGTATGCAACGGGGGGATGCTAGCATTTCCAGCTTCTCCTCATTCAAGAATTGTTAAAACGCCTTAACTGGCCCGTGGTCCTAGTTCTAACCCACCTCACCTTTGTTTACAGTTTTGCCGGTCCCCTCCTGTGCCTGTGGTGTATTTTTCTATACCTGCCACCCAGCCTGCACTAGAAGCATGCTCTTTCAGGACCCATTCAGACTTCTGTAGTTATTCCCAGGCTCTACCGGCTTTCCTTCCTTGTTGCTCTCTCTCTCACTCCTCTCTGTCTGTGTTCTGTTCATCTAAATGTGACCTAATGGCACCAGAGCTTCCCAGGGACCCAGAGAAGCTGTCTGAAATCGAGGCCAGGGTTGAGGGCTCAGGAACGCCTTCTTCTTGTCTCTGTCTTATAAGACAGAGACAAGATATATCCTCTTGGTCGGTTTCTCAGGCCAGGCGGCTTTCTCAGTCTTACTATTCATCAAACCCAGACATGAGGTGCCTTCCACTTCTGTGACTAACTCTTCACATCATCCATTATCCTGCTATATGTGGGCAGCCATGACAGTTCATTCATGTACTTCATGTAGTTCATTTTCTGAATATTGCTTCCTGGACAATGTGCCTACCGGAGAATTTATCCTTTGCCTCTCCAGCCTAGCTCTGTTTTTTTTTTTTTCTTTAGAGCAATCCCAATAGCAAATATTATCCTAGGCTATCTCATTTTCTTTCTTTATTTTCACTTTCTTTTTCTAACAATCTCTGAGATGAGATAGTTATTTTTCATTTTAAAATGAAAATTACAAAGTTGAGTTATATTTTAGTAGTCAGGGTATTTTGGTTTTTTTGGTATTTTGCTTTGTTTTGTTTTGTTTTGTTTTGCTACTGTCACAAGCACCTGTCATAATCAGCTTGTAAGAGGAGAGGTGTTAGGGGTTTCCACATTGCTTCCACTTTTAGAGATTTCAGGTTTGTGATTGGTTTATGGCTATGGTAGGACATCATGGTGGGACTGTATGGAGGAATTAAAGTCATAATATCCACAAAACAGAGAGAAAAAAGAAGCATATTAGTTACTTTTCTATTTCTGTGATAAACACCACCACCAAAAGGAACTTGGGGAGGATAGGGTTTACTTGGCTTGCATATCCCAGTCACAGTCCTCTGAAGGAAGCAGAGGCAGGAACTTGAAAAAGGAGAAGCTGCTTATTAGCTTATTCTTCCATGGCTTTCTCAGCCTGCTTTTTTTACATACTCCAGGACCACCTGCTCAGGGATGGCACTGGTCACAGTGAGCTGGACACTTCCAAAGCAATCATCCATCAAGAAAATGTCCCACAGGCCTGCCTACTGGCCAGTCTGATAGAAGCATTTTCCCAGTGAGGTTCCCTCCTCTCTGATGACTCTGTATCAAGTTGCCAAAGCCTAACCAGCATTGGAAGGGACCAGAGTCACAATCACCTTTCAAGGACACATCCCAAGTGGCCTCCAACTGGACCCCACTTCTTTAAATGTCTACCATTTCCCAATAGCAGAACAGAGGCTGGGGACCAAACCCCTAACACTGCCCGGAGCAGGTGTTCTGCACCTGTGTAGCATGATTGCTAAAGATGCAGAACCCAAGTCATCCAGCTGCACAACACGGTGGATGGTTTCTACCCAGCTCAGACTGACTGCAAAACCACTCCCTTCATTACCAAACCCATTGTCAAGGAGTATTGAACTTTCTGACTCTTTTTCCATTCTTGCATTCCATGGTTCATTGAAAGCAGTTTTGACAGCTAGTAGTAATTTCTAAAACAAACAAAACAGCATAATTAACTTTAAGCTCTAAAACCCGTGAATGCTTGAATGTGGAGAAGCTCATGTTTAGATGGAGGGGGTAAAAGACAGAGATGACCCTGATGAATGTTTAAAAGGATGCTGAGAGAATTTTCAAAGATCTTTTTAGAACAACAAGAAGTTCTTCTGCTCTAGTTTTAAATGTTATTGTGAAAAATATATAAAATGTTCTGGGAAAACCCAAAAGTGTCAGTACCTGGTATCGTGTCCATTTTTCTGTAATGTGTATACATTTCTCTTACCTTGTTAGCATCAGAACTATTTCCGGCTTGTTAACCATTATCAAACTCATTTATGTGAACTAGAAACTAGGAGAGAAAGAAAATAATTCTGTGATAACAGGGTAAGAATCAGAAGATGGGAATAATTAAAGAGGATGGATGAAGGGACATTAATGAGAAAGCTTTTTGACAAGATGGAAAGATTGAACTGAAAAAGCAAAGGCCAGAAACAAGGGAATGTCCTTCAGAAAGAAGAAAGGACGAGAAGACAAAAGCATTGCAAGTTTAGCTGCTCTCTGAAGTAAGGGGAGGTAGGGGAGGAAGTCAAAGTCCCAGCCAAAAGCGGGAGGGCATTTGGGGGGGGGTGAAAATTACCACTAGTGTGGTGGTTCCACCATAGGCCATCACTTGGGAAGCATCCTCTAGGCTGGACCTGTGAGAGTATGAGCTTTGGGTTATGAATTCAAAGAGGGATTCCCAAGCATCATTCTGCTGTTGGTTTAGTATTGCTGTTGCCTCAAGTCAGTATCAAGACTTACTAAGCGTTATCTCAATGCTAAGTGGATGTTGAAACAAAGAGGTCAGAAATTGAAAATCCAACAACAGAAATTTGAGTAGTATCTTGGGAAAACAAAAGTACTCCATATAATTTAATAGACTGAAAATGATTTTTAATAAGAACTTATAAATTAGCTTTATCATAAATAGTGTTTATTTAATTTTTCACTACATCCTTGTATCACTTTTTTTTTTCTTTCCAGGAGTCTCGCAAACAACAATCTGCAGACACTCCCAAAAGATATTTTCAAAGGCCTGGATTCTTTAACAAATGTGTAAGAGGACCTAAGGGATCACTGAATAACTAATGTGAAATGATTAGTGAGACCTGATATTGATAATTAGTATTTTTAATTGGCTTTAAAATTGGAATGTTTTGATTGACTTCACTCTTGAATCTACATAGATTAAATGTTTGGATTCTTTTATAATTTAGCATGGGAAATTCTGAATACACAGTACCGCATTACTTTGACAAAGTGTGTGCCTGTCCATAAGGGTCAATGGGGCAACCTGGAAAGGAGAGAGCTCCACAAAAATTTCAAGATCTCTTTTTTTCTCATGAAGTCCAGGAAGTAGGGCTACAAAGAAAAAACATAAAGGAGTCTGGGAAACTGACAAAATAAGATGAAAGGTTACACCCATGGGTTGGTCAGGCAACAGAAACGGAGCAGGAAGTGGGGGAAGGGAGGAGAGTTTGCCTTTTCTCTCATTAGCCTGAACAACAACTCTAGGCTTAATCCCCAGGAATTTGGCTTAAGCCCCAGGAAGGGAATGAACTTAATTATTTTTGACCCCTTTTCAAACAAAAGAGCTTTCAAACTTTGACTTTTAAGCTTCGGAGTGAAAGATCTTCGCAAGGAATTTGTATATTTTTGTGGTAAGCACAGCAACTTCTATATGCTCAAACCTCCCCAAAGCAATTTAGTCTCCTTAAATCTCTTCCAGAACATTAGCAGGGCATTTAAATGTCATAAAGTAGAATAAAGGAACAAATGAAAAGATGTATGTGGACTTTTTTTACTATCACTTACTTTGCTATTGAATATATAGAAAGAAAATTAAATATAAATATATCATGAAACTTAAATTAATTTCTCAGATTTTGATGGAACAAATAGAGAAACTAAATGTAATAACACAGAGAGAATATTTATATTGATAGCTCCAAAACAGCTTTCTCTAATAACAACAAAAAAACCTGAGTTAAAGAATTTCCTCCTAAGCCTAGAATTTAACTTCAAATCAAGAAGCTAATAAAATCCTCTTTGTTCTTTGCAGTTGTCCCCAACTCTTCTATCACGCCTACTTTTCCAATTACTGAAAACTTATTTCCAAGCAAGTGTCTGAATCAAGAGCCTTCCATGAGAACCTCACAGATCTCTTATCTGCTCTGATTTACAGTAACCCAGAAGGGCTGGCACTCTTGGGATAAGGTCACTTCTAGGAATGTTTTGAAAGTTAAATGATGAACTACACTTGGGGTGTACTTCATCCTGGGGCCTCTATCTCATGCTGTGTCAGTGTAACACTTAAAATCTGGCTCACTTTCCTAGGGAATCCCAGAATGAGGATTATCCCAAATCAAGGATTATTTTAGAAAATACAAGGATTCACGATAACTTGTCTTTTAGTGGATTTGTTATTGCTTTTTTTTTAATGAACATACACTTTACCAAATATTTAAATATTCACGTATTTAAAATTATTTATGTGCTGTGTGTGAAGAATGGGCAGCACATATCTTATAAATTCTGTGTGATCAGAAAAGAAATGGAAGACCTTTGCAGAGTAAATAAAGAGAGCTTGGTGAGTCGGGGCCATGTATGGAAATTTAAACTCGTTTCAACTCTGCCATATAGTTTATTACAGGCAAGGGCTGTTGTAGGTATTATGTCTGCATTAACTCTGCTATGGCAAAGTCATTTCTTATTAAAGAGGAATTTGTAGACCACAGAATTGGGTCAAGGTTAACTATATCTATGAAGATGAAAAGCCAGTGACTCACTGGATTTAATTAAATATTATACAGTAATCACTACACTATCTTCTAGACCCAATAACGTAGCTGCTGGACCCTAGAGTGTGCTGCTAGTACAAATGAGGCACCAAATTTTAAATTTTACATTTACTTGTTTATTTATTTATTTTGGTCCTAGCAATTGAGCCTGACCTTTTAATAAGCTAAGCATGAGCAGATACATTCAGGACCATTAATTTTTTTTTAAGATTTAAATTGAATTTTTTCTCATTTTAGTATATTAGAAAATAATCACATTCGGAACAACATATTGTTAGACCCCCGGAAAACTCAGGTATCCGGGGTCCCAGGCCATGACTTCGGTCACCCCTATCACCAGGCGGATTCGAGAGCTTGCTGCAAACTGCATGAGGCTTTATTGTAATTTAACGAGCTAACCCCATGTTAGCTCGGGTCTTTCATCCATCTGCCATGGCGGATGGCTCGAAAAAGACAGCTCCTAGGGCCTCCCAAGAGATCTTATAGGGCAGCGTAAGGGGAGTGTCTAGGGGTACGCACAGGCTCACTATTGGTGTGCCTCCAGGCTTGGAGGGCTTGCCCTGTGTTGATTGGCCAACTGGTTGTTATGGCTCATAGGCCCTCCCAGGGTGATTGCTATGCTTTGTGAGTCATTACTGTGCGCTTTCCGTAAAGCACACCCAGGGTCGTAAAGCATAGTGCCACCAGCTAACTTCTGATTGGTTCCTTGTCACGAGGCAGGCATCTGACTTTCTAGTGACTAACTAACTTCTGATTGGTTCCTTGTCACAAGGCAGGCATCTGACCTCTAAGTGACCAAGGCAAGGTTATGGCAAGCATGTGTTCGGCTGTTATGGCTGCCGAAAGGGAAGCTGGTCCCTTCAATATATATGTGAATCTATTTTTGAAGTATAAACTTTATGAACTCTAAATACAGATCATGTATTTCTGATGAGAACTTAGCATCCAAACTGAGATATAAGGATAAACTATATATACGTCTTCAAGGATAATACCAAAAAAGGAGAAAATAGAGTATTGATTAATAAACTTGCTATGTCTGTAGTGTTTATATTGATTACACACCCAGATGATGAAAATTTTAATGTGTCGGAGGAAATGAAAAATTATTTCTCTTTAGGTTTCTTTAGGATCCTTATAGAAAAAAAATGCAGCTTACACATATGACTCATATATTATTACCACTGAGTCCACTCTTCTAGTCTAAGACACCATTGAATCCAAACAAGAACAGGTTATGAGTTTCTGGGGTAGCCTTTAAGGGTGCTCTGGGATCACTCTCTGAACCCAAACTGAATGGACTGTCAGTCAAGTTCAACATAGATGGCAGAGCATGTACAGGTTAATGCTGAAGTTAAAGTCATGCTTGGGTCATGACAGAACCCATGCACTGCAAATGCAGCAGAGGTTTCTGTTTCAGGGATCTGAGAGGGAACTCATTCAATTGTGACTGTAAACTGAAGTGGCTGGTGGAATGGCTGGGCCACACCAATGCAACTGTGGAAGACATCTACTGTGAAGGCCCCCCGGAATACAAGAAACGCAAAATCAATAGCCTCTCCCCCAAGGATTTTGATTGTATCATTACAGGTAATGTATTGAAATCCATTTTACAGCAGAAAATTATTTTTAAAAAGGCTACGTTTTTTGCAAGTATAAAAATTGATTTTTAATATGTGAAGAACCATCTGAGAAACATAATGTGTGAAGCATTAGGAACCTTTAAAACTTCACATGCTTTAAAAACAGTAAAACTGCCATTTGACTAATTCTCTGAAATAAATATATTTCTTGTGAGTGTTTGGGAGCTAGCCAAGGAGCTAGACATTAGTATTAGCTCACATTTATCCATCTTCCTCTCCTATTTCTACAGAATTCGCAAAATCCCAAGATCTACCTTACCAGTCACTGTCCATAGATACTTTTTCTTATATGAATGATGAATATGTGGTCATTGCTCAGCCTTTTACTGGAAAATGTATTTTCCTGGAATGGGACCATGTAGAGAAGACCTTCCGGAATTACGACAACATTACAGGTATGAAGAGCCTAACTATATTGAGTAGAACATTAAGCTGCTTTGAACAAGGGCAATAGAAATGGAAGAGTTTATAAGAAATGCTTTGACTGGTCTTAGTGGCATTAATCCCAACTTTTTACTAAGTGACTTGAGATTGCCTGCTAAATTGTAGCTAATCCTTAATTCCTTTACTTAAATAAGAACAGTATCTGAATCACAGGGCAGTTAGTAAGGAAATGTGATCATGTATTTAAGAAACTCAGCACAGTACTGAGCATACTAAATGTACTCTAAAAGGGGATTCTTTTTCTTCAGAGTAAAAGCAATGAATCACAATGATGAGCTCTAACCTAGGTTCTGACACTATTTAGCGGGACAAGTCTATCACCTTCACTGTAATCTCATTGTTCCTAACTTGAAAATAGAGGGTAAAATAAATTGGGCTTGGTGGTGCTCATCTGGGATCCCAGCACTTGGAAGCTGAGGCAAGGGGATCAGACTCAGCCCAGCTACATAGTAAAACCTTGTCCCAAAACACATAAACAAACAAAACCCCACAAACAGAAGGGTGCATGGCTGGGGAGAAGGCTCTCTGGGTGCTGTGCTGGCTGCACAGGCCTGGAGAACTGAGTTCAGATCCCTAGCATACTTGCAAAAAGCCTGACATAGTGGCAGGCATCTGTCTATAACTTCAGCGCTAGAGAGCTGAGGGCTCACTAGCTAGGCAGTCTGGCCAAATCAGTGAGCTTCAGATTCAGTAAGAGACCCTGTCTCAAAACAGTGGAGAAGCAATTGAGGAATACACCATACATTGACCTCTGACCTCCACACATGCACACATGGGTAAGTGCACTCCCAATACATATATGCACAAACACCACACACACACACACACACACACACACACAGGGTTGGGTAGGGGGAGAACCTTTTCTTATAAAGAAAAAGTGGAAATGAGAAGTTTCCTGTTTCTAGCTCTAAGAAAAGTTTGTATGGCCCAAACTGTTATCAGCACAAACACACGAATGAATATACATGGCACAAAAACATGGTTATCATAATTAAATCTGCTTGAATTCAAAGTAAGTGCATTAAATAAGAAAGCTATTTTAGATCAACTCTCAAACTCTGCTGCACATTTTTAATAAAATGTTAATGCATTCCTTGAAACAAAAAGGGTTTTGTGGTCCAATAAATCTATAAGCCATATCTGTCTCTTGAAGGTTCATAATAAATATATTAGAGATTATGAGAAATCCTGCAGTGTTGAAACCTATTGTCAATGTGTTTCTTAATTTGTTTATAGAATCCATTTTTATCCATGAAAACTGTTGCTTGAGAGATTCTCTTAACTTTTGTTCCCACTTCAACAGTTTTTAAAATTGTAAGATACCAATCAAAATAGTTTTGAAAACTGTTCTTTTCTAACATCTTGACCATTAACTGGCAGGATGGTACACTCTTGCCATCATTAGCCAGACAGGGTATATCAGACTATTGTAATCCTGGTACTCAGGAGGCTGAAGCAAAGGGTTTATGAATTTAAGGCTAGCTTGGGATATATAGTGAGGCACTATCTCCAGCAAAGCAGGGCAGAAGGTGTACCACTAGACAAGGTACAAAGAGTCATAATTATTAGTTAAATTTTGCCAGTGGCCATCAAGCCCATCCATCATCAAATGTCTAAATAGTCCTTGCTTGATACTGAGGTGAAATGATCTGTTCAAACTGATATCCTTCTAGAACCCCCTTTTCTCCAAGAAAGGTCGTGATTCTCGTTCTTCCTGGGTTTTCCAATGTGGAGCAGCTGAGCTCTTTGCTATCTAACCTGAGGCCTTCTGATGAATGCACACTTCACCAGCCACTGTTTGTTTCAGGATCTTGCTGTGTCATCAAGGCTAGCTTTGAACCAACAATCCTCCTGCTCAGCCCAAGTGTTAGGATTGCATACACAAGTCACTGTGTTCGGCTTGCTCTGAATGACACTGTAGACTAGAACTTGAAAGGAATGAATCACTTGCTCATGGTTTTGTTTTAGGTGACAGTTTAGTTTGTTTCTGCTACTGTAATGAAATTCCTTAGGCTGAGTAATTTATAAACAACAGAAATGTATTTCTTGCAGATTTGGGAGCTGGCAAGCTCAACAGATTCAATGTCTTGTAAAAACTTGCTTTCTACTTAAAAGACAGTCCCTTTTCTATGGATGCACAGAGCAAAAGGAAGGACAAAAACATTAAAATGACTCAAGGCTTTTTATGAGGGCTCCATTGCTGTGATTTAATCACCTCCTAGAGGCCTCAGCTCTTCAGACTGTTGCACCCGGGATTACATTTCCACATGGATTTGGAGATTTGCACACATTCAAGTCATACAGATCATAAATAACACATCATTATGATTGCTAGTCTCTCATCACGGACAGACATCAAGGCCTACCTGTGGTGTTATTTCTTGCAGAATACATATGTAGCCTCAGAATCCTTCTCAACACAAGCTCATCAAGCAGTCACAATCACTCAGTCAGTCTGCATGGGCACCTAAGATGAATTCTGATGGCCATCCCTAACACACTCTAAACCTTATTGTGCAGAAGAGAAGACTGATCTCTGAGAAGTTAAGTTATCCTCTGTAGGTTACACCATCGGTTTAGTTATCACCATCAGTTTAGTTATGAAAGGAGTTTCAAGTAAGGGCAGAGGTGATAGCTTAGTTGGTAGTATGTTTGTTATGTGAGTATGAGAAACTGAACCTGATCACCAGAAGCCATAAAAAAAACAAACTAAACCAAACCAAACCAAACCAACCAAACAACAAACAACAACAAAACAAAACAAAACAAAAAAACCCCTGGGCGTGGTGGTATGCACTAGTAATCCCAGCATTGAGGAGGCAGAGACAGAAGGATCCCTGTGGCTATGGGCCAGTCAACTTATCTTAATTAGGGCACTCCAGGTCCCAGAGAGAGACACTACTTCCAAAAGCAAGATGGCAGCACATGCACTCACGCACGCACACACGAGTGTGCATGCCTCAATTTTTAGAGGGACTCTTTCCCTCAATCCCCTAGAGCTACAGTTAGAAAAGTCTGGGGTAGATTTACTCTGTAGGTGTTTGGGTCTCCGAGTCTGAACTCTTTCTAGGACATAAGACTGTATTTACAGAAGTTGCTTAACAGACACCAGCATAGGCCACTGACAGACCTTTATTTTCATCTGAGGTTTCCAATGAAGAACTTTAAGGAGGGTCAAGCCACGGCAGTGCCCACCTGCTCCTCTTTGACTTTTCACAAGGGTTCCTCAACCTGTTCTATGGAGTAAATACTTCCGGACCAACTAGGGCTACATAGTGAGACCTTGTCTACATAAATACTTAGCCCAAAGACTCAGATAGATCCATGTTTGAATCTCAGCTCTGTCTTTTGGAATCAGAATTTAGCCCCTCTGAGTCTAGAAGAGTTTGCTCATCTAGAAAAAGAAAGATGAACAAGCATGGTGGTGTACACTTTTAGTCTTAGCATTTGGGAGGCAGAAGTAGGAGATATGTGAGTTTGAGTTTGAGGCCAGCCTGGACACAAAATAGCAAAACTCTGTTGCAAAAGAACAAACACACAAAAACAAAGATAAGAAAAGGGAAGATCACACTTATGTCAAGGTTGTTGGAGTATCTGAATGATTTGGCAAAGCATATAGTAAATGTTCAGAAATGGTCATTTTAATTACAATTAGGGAAATTAAATCAGGTATGCCAGGGGAAAACAATACTTGATGCAAGGAATGAGAAGAATGAGCTTGGGTTGTATTTCTATGCCCTAAAGGTCTAGAGCAGGTTGGAGGTGATATGGCAGATTCGTTGTTTATAACAAGGCCCATAAGGTAAAGGCTCAGAACCTGAGGACATTTGGCCTTGGGGATTGGTCCTGCCTGATAGACCAAGGGAGTGTCTCCTTCAGACTAAAATTTCTGTGGAAGTTGTCTAGCCCCAGCCTGTGTGTTTTCATGTTCCAAAGAGGATGGCCAGACAGCTAATAACTCCCTTGTCTTTCCTCAGGCACGTCCACTGTGGTGTGCAAGCCGATCGTCATTGACACTCAGCTCTACGTCATTGTGGCCCAGCTGTTTGGTGGCTCTCATATCTATAAGCGAGATGGCTTTGCAAACAAATTCATAAAAATCCAGGATATTGAAGTTCTCAAAATCCGAAAACCCAATGACATCGAAACATTCAAGATTGAAAACAACTGGTACTTTGTGGTTGCTGACAGTTCCAAAGCTGGGTTTACTACCATTTACAAGTGGAATGGAAATGGATTCTACTCCCACCAATCCTTACACGCCTGGTACAGGGATACTGATGTGGAATACCTAGAAATAGCCAGAACACCACTGACCCTCAGAACACCTCACTTAATCCTGTCCAGTAGTTCCCAGCGCCCTGTGATTTACCAGTGGAGCAAAGCAACACAACTGTTCACTAACCAAACTGACATTCCCAACATGGAGGACGTGTATGCTGTGAAACACTTCTCTGTAAAAGGTGATGTGTACATTTGCTTGACCAGATTCATTGGTGACTCCAAAGTCATGAAGTGGGGTGGCTCCTCCTTCCAAGACATTCAGAGGATGCCATCACGGGGATCCATGGTGTTCCAGCCCCTTCAGATAAATAATTACCAATATGCAATTCTCGGAAGTGATTACTCCTTCACTCAAGTGTATAACTGGGATGCAGAGAAAGCCAAATTTGTGAAATTTCAGGAATTAAATGTTCAAGCACCCAGATCATTCACACATGTGTCCATTAATAAGCGCAATTTCCTTTTTGCTTCCAGTTTTAAGGGGAACACACAGATTTACAAACATGTCATAGTTGACTTAAGCGCATGAGACACCAAATTCCATGGCTGCCATCGGAAACTTTCTACAGTATGTGACCTGGATGAACTCAATGCATGATGACTCTTCTTATCACACTTGCAGATGAATGCCTTTCAACATCGAGACTGTTGAAGCCAATACTACCAGTATCACCATCCTTAACTGTCCAATCCAGTGGTGTGGGAAGTTACCTTTTATAAGACAAAGTTTCATTATATAACTGTTCTTTGCAGTGAAGACGTGTACATAAGCATTTAATGGTATCTGTTACTCCAAAAAAGAAATATTCATATGTACTTTTCCATTTATTTATTCACGTGTTCAGAAACAACTGCCAAATAAAATGTTTACATTTTCTTTCATATCCCAAAGGTAATTATTTACAAGAGCTGTTTGATTCTTGTTGATTGTATGTTGAGGAAATAGTTTTATATAATAGGATTATATTTGGATCAAGGATTTATGGTATGACTATTGAGTAAAGTTTTAAAAAATGATTTCCCATAATTTATAAACATGTTTATCTGGGTTCTATTAGTGGATTTTGAACACTCAGAGTCGTGACTGTTAGGGACACTTTGAGATAAAAGGGCAACACATTTAAATGAGAGGGAGAGAGTTTACCTATTACGTTAAGACTAATCTATAATGAGGAGGAAGGCCATCCTGTCTCATCGGATAGACTCAGCTAAAAATACCACTCAGCCATTTTATAGAAGAAATTTAAGATTTAGAATTGAATAACCCCTGATCCAGGACTTGCTAAATATCTAACTCTAGAGCCGCCTGACAGCTGGTAGATTGTAACTTTATGTACAGCAATTGCCTCCCACATGCTGGCTCTGGAGGCCTCTCTCTCTGATGAAGAACTCTTATGCTTCTAGACACTGGATTTGCTGTAACTGACCTGCCACACAGTGCCTACAAGGCTCATGTCTGATTTTCTAGATTCCTGCTTCCAGATCACTTGAGTCATTAGGACCTTGCACACTGCCTGTTATGTACATAGTAGGCACTCAAAAAATGGTTTTCAAAGGCTGGGGATATAGTTTCATAGAAAAATACTTGTGTGGCATGTGTCAAGCCCTGGGTTCAATCCCTGGCACCAAACAAAAGAGCTTTTGAAAACACATGTGGCTTCTTCTCTTACAATCCCCTCCACCAGCCCCTCTGGCCCACCTAATACTTTCTGAGCTCTTGTTGAGAATGCAGTATGGTTGTGGGGAACTAACGTAGGAGTAGGGTGTGATGCTTGCTCTCTGTAGTCTTAGAAAAAGAATGGAAGTGAGCTAAAATTACAAAAAGATCTATAGATTAAGCAATGAGTGTGGAGAACCATCTGAACAGCCTAGATTTGGAGTGCCATAGGAATAGTAAGTGTCACTTTGGGGAATCTATGCTCTTGGCTTGACATCCGGGAAGACACAATTTCAAAAGGAGGTTGTGTGGGAGAAGACATGGCTGGCACAAATTGGTTGTGTGCGCTGCCTTTATGGAGGACTTTTGAGTTTGCTTATGTTCCCCCACAGGAAGGAGATGGGCAGACAGCAGTCCCCCAGTCCCAGTATAAGTGTGGTAGACTCAGGAGTCAGGGGTCCCCATAATAAGGACGCAGTCTTCAAAGAAGCGACACCCTGGATCGTTGTTCATAAGGACCAGATTTTATTATCCGTACAGAAAAGATATTAGGTCTGGCATCAGGGTTAGAGGAGAGAAGAAAGCTTAACTACTCCTGATCCTGCACCTAGGAGAACTGGCCTTGGAACACCTTTTCCTCTGCTCTGATAAACGGCATCATATGTTGCTGGAGGAGGACTGCTCTGGACAGTCTGGGTAAAACTCCAGGTCTGCCATGCATAAGCTTTGCAACAGGCAAGGTATTTAACCCACCTGAGCCCACTTCTTCATTTGTAAAGATGGACAATAATGCCTACTTCTAAGGAGGAGAGTTAAATGAGAAGACACATGAGTAGCAGATGGTATTTCCCAAATATAGCCCCTACCACACCCCACACCCCCCATGCTCTGTGAGACCCTGCCCCAAATTCATTAAGAGGTAGCATCTAACTCACTGTCCTTTGTCTGAATGGTTGGTGACTTGCTTGTATTTCATTGACTATGGTGAAAATGATACAGTTTGGCTTCCTTGCTAGGTCATGAACACCATGAACTCTTTCTTGCCTTGCTAATTGGACACTTGCCTGCAGAGCCCCGAACAGCTGCATAAGAAGTCTTACTAACCAGAGGCCATTGTTCTGTGTTGAAAACCAAACTGCATGGAGCAATCACCTCCTGGTGCTTTGGTCATCAGACCCAGCTGGTGTCACAGCCAACAGCCATCATCAACCACCAGTCCTTGGAAGCCTACAACTCCAGATCCTGCTGTCAAGTTACTACCGAACATCAGACCATCCCAGCAGAAGGGCAGCCATTAGAAAGCAGCAAGCTATCCACAATATCCCTGTCCAAATCCGTGACCCAGACTCTATGAGCATAATAAAGTGATTGTTTGAAATGGATATGCTTGGGGTCATTTGTTGTACAACTGTAGTCATGAGAAGGTACATAAAACAGAGCACAATGGCCTGTGTAAAGACGCTCTACATGGTAGTCACCTGTCTGGCTCCACTCCCACCCAGCACATTTACACTTTTGGATCACACTCTACCTTCTAAAGGATAGCCACTTTTTATCAATACCGTTTCAGTACTCTTACCTTGCTCTGAGCGCTGTTCCAGGATGCAGAAACTATGCATCCACAGTCTCCTGACTGTGCAGTGTTAGTAATTCCCCTTCAAGCCTGAACATGGAGTTGGGGTGTGAGCTGGTTGAACTCAGACTGTCATCCAGGCCTATCTACTTTCTGTCCCAAGGTGTTCTTTCAAAAATTCACTCTCCAACTTGCATGTGGGACTGTTGACAGGGCAAGAAAAGAGTGGGGAGATGGAGAAAATAAATTTAAGACCCTGAGGTAGGGCCTGCTTTCATCGACATTGGCCAGTCTTTTATATGCCCCTCACCTACCTATCCTATACAACCTATACCTAAACTCCTCTGGCCACAGATGACAGGACCTGCGTACACTCCCTGTCCATGTGTGGGGCCCAGTCAATTATCTCTCTTGGACATTTGGAACCAGGACAACAGAGGCTAGGACTTTTAGCACAGACACCAGATATTCAAGATGATAGTTTTAAATCAGGGTTTCTAGAAGCAAAGTGCTTTGCCAAGGGGGGGGGGGTGAGAGGAGCAATATATAGAACAGGGGAGGAAATTGGGCAAAGATAGTTGCCTGGTATCAGCCTATCCCAATGGGGACTCATCCCATGGGGACTCAAGAACATGAACTGTTCCACTAGCATAAGGGTGCAAGGTATCACTTCTTAGGCAACTTTAGAAGAGGTTTCGGTCAATTAAGGATAGACGACTAGAGAATGGTACCCATGGGCTGCCACTGATCATTGACTCCAGTATCTGTGGAATGAGTACGTGCACTGGGGATGTGAGTTGGGGTGGGGCACCAGGAGTCTATGTCAGTGCTGAAGCCATCATTTCTGAGCAGTTGTGGTGGGCTATGCACCATGGTGCTGGTCTGAAGAGTAAAAAGAGAAGCAGGTGTGTTGGAAAGAGCAGAGAAAGAGGGAAGGAGAAAAAGAAAGGGTGAGAAAAGGGAGAGTTAGGGAGGGCAGAAGGAAGAGATCACAAAGGGAAGAGAGGCAGGCAGGGAAGGATGGCAACAGAGAGATGAGGAGTTGTGACGTATCCTGGTAGACTCCCTGACAACCAAACTGTAAGACTGTTGTGGGAGCATTTTGTTGGGGGTGAATTCATGAAGTCAACATCTGGGAAGGAGGGAATGGAAGGCAGAGGGGCAGGATGCCACCAAAAGCCTCTGATGACTCCGTCTTGAACTCTGGGACGGAGATGTCTCTTCTCAGTGGTGCCAAGCTGGCACGGAGCAAGGGAACTCACTTTAAAGATGCATAATCTCCTCAGATATGAAGGTAGCCATTCCTGGAAGGAAGTATGGGCTCAGGGAAGGCTGTTGCTTAGCCAAAGCCACCTGCAAAGACACCAACCAGCAGAGCTCATCTTCTCACTGCACTCCTTGAAGCTAGACAAGTAAGTCCTATATTCCTGAATGCGCATCTTGGCAGCTCAACATGTCTGCCTCAGAGGGGAGAGAGGGAGAAGGAAAGCGGCTAGTCCGTGTTTGTTTCCTGCACCACACCTCAAGAGATCTGGTTATACTTTCTGACCCCAATTCCCCAATTACCTGAGATACTTCTGTCATCATCCAGTTCCCCCAAACACAAGCATGCGCGCTTGCACATATACACTTTTTATTCGGGTCAATATTGTTACCAGTTATCACCTACTAAGAACATGCAGGCGAAACTTGCTGTGATAGAGATGAGATACTAGATTGAAAAAATAAAGTCCTAGAAAGTTCCATCTCTCACTGTGGTTCAAACTGTGTCCTTTCTATTACTCTGTCTTTGGGTTCACTGAGTCCTCTTGTGAAATTAATTTAAAAACTATCATTTCAACCAGAGCAGGACTTTTCATCCTTTAAACAAAAATCTCAATGTATCAAAATGCTCTGCGTCACAAAAATTAAAAGACTTCTGATGTGTTTTGGACCCATTGATTTGTAATTTATGTTGTAAACCAATACTTTTTGCAATTAAAATTAATTTGAATTTCTGGGGAAATGACCATATGCTTAGTTGCTGTGACAGTGCCTCAGATTTTGTTAACCTCAGCTCACTCTGATTCTAAACCCTTCTTGTCTGGCATGGGTCCTACGAACTCATCTGTAGGAACACAGCACTAGCTAATTACAGTTCCACTCACTCAGCATAGCTATTACCGTAATATGTCAGTCCTAATGGGTACAGTGAAGGCATTTGAATGTGATTGGTACCTACGGCACTTGGCCTTTTAGAAATGCAGTCCTAAAATGATGCTTATCCTCCTACCCCAACATTCTTTGTGATTTATACACG